GATAACATTTGATGAGAGGACAGGGAAAATCAGAACTCATGTGTGATACTTGGAAAAAACAAAACTGTCACTCAGAATACACATATTTCATAAGTTTCAACAAATGTATGTGGTTAATGATACCAGTCTCAAACCAACTGCTCTATAAGAAATCTGGCACATATTTGTTTTAGGACTGGACTGACAAAGAACAAATAAGTTCATCTGTGCAGACAAATGTGTGCACACACATCCTTTGTCACTTTGTCTTAGCAACTGAGATTGGCTGTCTGTGTGAGGATGACAGTTTGAGTTTCTTGTCACAAAGATTGATTGTGTTCAAATGTTTTCGTAAGAGTGTGCTGGTTTATGCCCAGCACCCCATGTCTGATGAAGCCAACTTCACACAGACACTCAATTTTGGAGGTGTCTTATCCCCTGACCCCATTAGATGCTGCCAGAGTCAAAACTCAATACTTTATTTATTCTGTCTCCTTCCCTCACTGGTCTCTCTCTTAGTCACTCTGCCTTTGTCTAACACTTATTCCACTCCTTTACTTAAAAAAAATTTTTTTCTTAAAGCTCAGATTTATCCGTGGAGCAAGAGAGACATCTAGTGTCATTTCTCAAAAGCGTTTAAGCAAAAAGAAATAAATTTGTATTTGGCTAAATCTGAATTCTGTCATTCTTCATGAGGTCAAATTTATTACATTTAGACATTGGGTTTAATCCGACAAGGCAGTTTTGGTTGTTCCAAACCTATATTTGGGTAAATCACAATCAAATGAGCATAAACTAATAATAAATATTAAGCCCTACAGTCTGCATACACAGTATTCTCAGTACTATGAGTGTAATTAGCTACATTTGAAACTGCTCATTTTAAATTCCTGGTGGTTTTTCAAAGCAGCAGGTTCTCTATGCAGCGTTTTACCTCAATTCTCAATTTCTTCTTGATTATCGTCTCAACCTCCACCTTCCTCCTCTTTTCGTCTCTATAATTACCAAGTTGTATTTTCAGGCACTCTACAGCTCTCCCTCCCACCCTCCCTTCCTGTCTCTCTGCGGAGTCCATTAGAGACCACCTCTATTGTGTTTCTCTAGATCACCTGGACGGAAAAAGCTGAATAGGAAAGAAACGTAGGATGGAAGAGATGGTGGGGGAGCTGAAAAGACTCCAGCTGGGACTATTTGTTTGGACCGGCCTACCTTTTCCATCTTTGCAACGTATCCCCCAAACTGTGTTAAAAATAAACTACAATTTCCTGCCTATCTGATAGCATCAAGGAAAACACAAGACAAACACCACCACCTCAACTCAAATAGGTACATCTCTGCACATTTGTTCCAAGTGTTAAGATGGACATACACAATGCAGCACAACTCCTGACTTGTCTTTAACAATATTCTACTCCAGTCTTGTCATTTAATTATTCAGTTTCTTTAGCTAAAACTCCAAGAGCTTTGGAAAACACACAGAGGCATTAGCATATTTCTTGTGATAAGAGTTGATGGTGCTTATTTCTATTAAAATGAAATTGGACTTCCTCTTTGCATTTGTATTAATTTTCATGTTTTAGAAGAGGGGTCTAGAAAACAAACATGAAACGGAGGAAGGTGCAGAAGGGAGGAAGACGTTCGTGAAAGGAGAGAAAAGCAGAAATGAAAGCTCCTCTCGCTCTTTGTTTTCCTGGCATTTTGGAAGCTTTGTTTCTCTTGCTCGCAGCTTTTCACTGTCCACCTGGGAAAACTGATTTATTAACTTTGAGATGTGTTATATAGCTTCCTATATGTTGGGTAAAAAGTCCATGGACTTTGTTGGGAGTGAAAATAAACTAAGAAATTCAATTTCTCAGTCATTTTGGGGATGGGGGGGTGAGGGGGCTTGTTTTACATTTCATTAAACATAATGCCAAGTTATTTTCATAACAAAAGAACATCAATAGGCAAGTGCCAGAAAACAACAGCATAATTTGTGCAAATTTGGGCAAGAGAATGTGTGAGTGTATATGTGAGTGTGTGCTACCTGGCCAAGTAATCATTACGGATCAGTAGTAGATGCTGCATCAGGGACAGGAAGTGGCCCTCGGCCTTTGAGTCCTTCACAGTGTTGACCAAGATTTCAAATATGTCCCTCACATCATTGAAGCAAAAGCGTTAAGGCCCAACAGACACGATCAATAGAAGAATTTAACACAAATATGAGAGTCACATACACAACATCTAAAGAGATGACAGTCAACAACTGTGCACTGTTCTGCACCAACATCAGCTGCATTTTTTTTTTCCCACCAGGCTATTGAGGCAAAACATTCAGGCGCACAGAAATGTCCTTGAAAGAAAAGCACATTTGTTATTTTAATTAAAAACAAATTGATCAGAAATGCTGTAAATAACAATGAATAATGAAACGACTCATTAATCACTTATCATTTTAAATGGAATATCTACATCGGCGTACAGAGCACTATTTTCAGCTGTATTCCAAAAGCACATTGTGTTACTAATCATTTTTTGGCCTTTTTGAGACTATAATCAAACCTACAAAGGCTGTCGCTGCAGACACTCAATTAGACATTTTTTGATTCTTTAATCAGCACAACAGTTTTCAGCTGCACCAACATAATTGCAAATGGGTTTTTTTTCTTATGGACAATTAGAAGCAATTTTCTAATAAACCTGCATTAGGGAACACAATGTGCCATTGGAATACAGCAGTTAAGGATGCTGAAAATGGGTCTCTGTACACCTACGTAGCCATTCCATTAAAATTCATACGCGATTCATTTAATGATTCCATTAACTGTCAGTACCAACATTTCTGATCAATTTAATGTTATTTAAGATATTTTCCCCCCTTCAAAAACAGAAACTGACATTTCTAAAGCACCCTAATCTTAATAACACTAGTGTATAGGATAGGATTCAATTTTAACACCCATTTAGTTCTCTGACTTATTTGTTCACGTTTTCAAATGTCTGTACTGTAATATTCCTGTGTTTAATTCATACACTTAGCCCAGCACACTTCCTTCATTAGAACATTCTGTATGCACTGCGATGGTAACCCCTGGGAGACATCTGGTGTTGAAATTCAGAACGGCATGTCAAGAGCAGCAGGGAGAAGTACAGTGTACTTTGTAAAGTGTGAGGTTGAATTCTTTTCAAACTATCCACCCTGGACGCTACCCTCCTTAGAAAGGAAAAGAGGAAGCACTGTGAGAGGTAGATGATAAACATCCTGTGTTTTTAGAATGTGGTTCATTCAGATTATACCAAAATTGAAAAAAATAAAATGCAGATTTTTAAGCACTAAATCCTTAGGTCTAATGTTCCCACATGGTTAATGTTACTGCTCATGCATTAACAATCAAGTTCAGATACATTAATAGAAATGAATAGGTAATCAACTTCTTGTTGTGGTGTACCTTTCAGGCAGCCAACTAAGTGCCTAGTCATTTATAAAGAAAGAGTAGCAACAGAGCAAGGTTGGTAGGATGGCAGGATTGCCTTTTTTCCCCTTAAAATTAGATGTGCCTACAAACTGTCCTAGTGAGGACAAATAGAGGAATTTCTTGAATAAAGAAAAGCATAAAATACAATTTTTAAAAAATTTTAAAATACAATTGCTTACACATATACTGGTGGACTGGATGTAATTAAGAAAATGAAAGCAGGTGAAGGTTTTCACTTTCCAATGAAACTAATAAAACACTAAACTTGAAAATTACAAGGAGACCCAGATTTTATCATGCTGATCCTCTTTTTTTTGTCGTTCAAAACGCAAACATGACAGCTGCACAAAGGAACAATTTTGCCCATTGGAAGGATATTCCATTTCCATTCGGATGTCATCCAGACGTGCTTTGAGGTCCTCAGAATCATCTTCAGCCTGCTCATCAAACACTGTGAGTTGCACCTTCAGCTCTTCATTTTCTATCTTTCGCACCTCCTGCGGGGAAAGGAATAGGATGCAGGCGGAGAGATGAAAAATCATGATGGAGAATAGCAGGAGGAAAGTGACAGTCAAACATTTTTAGTTTGAATGCTTGTAGGAAAAGTTTTTACAGCATGTGTGTGTTAGCCCATCAGGGAGACAGAGGCATCAATATAGGGAGACACAAACATTAAAGCTGTGAAAATGTATGTTATTGCAAAGTCACCGTTGAAAGAAATTAAGTGGGTTTTCTGTACCTTCAGCTGATCTCTAAGACCCAGTCTTAGCAGTTCAGAGCGAATATGGATTCTGAAGTCCAGTTCTTCTGCACGGCTGATCAAGGCGTTTATTAACTGCATGCAGCCACTCTGCCAAAAACACATCACAAGTCAGTTTTATAGAGTATTTATACAGCATAACCTGCTTAAAAGTGCTGTCGATCAAAGACACCCGGGCTGGGTCATTTGCCAAACAAAAGCCCATGTGAGAACCTATAAGTGGTGAAATATGGGTACGCATTTGAATATGTACCTTAAGTGCAATGCTGGAGCTCCTCATTCCAGTAAGAAGTGGCTGAAACCTTTCAGTGTCCTGTTTCTCTGCCTCCTCTGTAATGGCCTCTAAAACACGCTCGTGACTGCAAAACAAACCAAAAAAAACCAAACAGATAATGATATACGTTATCATTATAAAGCTTCACTACATGGTACATTTTAAATCAATACATGAATACAACATTTATCCTTAAAAGAAAAGAATGGGGACTGAGAATGTCATTTCATTGAAACAGATGAAGAGAAATATGATGATAAGCAAGTACTGATGTCAGCAGAGCAGTTCATCACTGTCAGTTGGTCTAATACAAGTCTAATATCCAAACTAGAACAGTCCATTATCTTTGTGCATTCCACTTTTTTGAAACAGCATCTACATTTCACTAATACTTACAGGTTTTCAGGACGCTCCAAAATGGAGATGGCAGAAAGAAGCTTGACAGCGTCCACCATCATATGAGGCACTTTTGGGTTGATGGCTCTGGTTAGCAGAGGAATTCCCTCAGGTGACTCCAACATGGATTTCAGACCATGCTAAGCAGAAAAGGAAAGAGAGAAAGTAGACTGAGGTAAAGACTTCCATTTTTCAGATTATAGTCTTCATATCAGAATTTAGTCGTAGTAGATGAAATGTACTCGACTGCAACAACTATGGAAATTGTATACCAACGTCTTGCTTTGACAAAAGGGGTGGAACAATCTGACAAAAGCTGGCACTTTGAAAGCCATGCAAAAATAATACAAGTTACTGAATTGCTATCCATCTGGATATTATTACTACAGGCTGTTATTAGGGACAGCAACCACACAGGCAATGACATTTATTATGTCGGTACCCTTTAATACATTCAAACATTATTTTAGACCAATAATGTCATATTTATAACTAAATTATGCTTTGTTCTATTATTGAGTAATCTTCAATAAACCTTCATCGATCCTCAGCCAGACAACGCAAATTAGTTTGACCAAATTAAGCCAAATTTTAAAAATATATATATCCATTTGACATGTTATGTTTTCTCCAGAATTGGTTTTGACTTTACCTTTGTATTATTAGCAGGTGGATAAATATAAAATATATTCCAGAGTCTGGAGAAGTTTCTATAAAATTTCTTTTTTCCTAGGATTACATACATTAGTAAACAACCTTCACTGTATTGAATTTAGAGTGCCCTCTGCTACAATGACAAAAGAAAATGGGCCATTAATTATTCTATAGTTATATTAATTCTGATATGAAACAAAGGATTAGGGATTTAGATGTAAGAAGTTTTCCTACCTTGTTGTTCATAAAGGCTTTAAGACAACGAATTATCTCATGTTGGCATTTCGTTCCAATTGGCCTGGTTGGTGAAAGACCAGAAAGACATTTCAAACACACTGCTAGAATATACAGTTGTTGTTGTTGTTTTTTTGGTTTAAGTAACTTACGTGCATTCCTCTTCCTGGAGTTTTCTCAGCAGATTCAGAAGCAGAGCCAACCCTTCATCTCCAAAGTTCTGTACCCAACTGAAAGTGAAAGATATTTTCCCATACATTAAGAAAAATTGTCTGTCACAGCATGCATGAATTCATGGTTAGAACAAATCCAGAGGGTAAATCTATGTGCATAGTGAATATGAGCTTTTCCCCCTAAAAAGCACAGTACACTGTCCAGTACACTTTAAATCCTAGCCGACAGCATATATTGATAGCATATATTACAAAAGGCCTGGGGTTTCATTTCTAAAACTTTATAGGTGCTTCAGTAAGAGAAAGAGAGCGCGCACGCGTGTGCGTGTGTGTATATAGAAGCTCCCCAGCAAAAAACACTGCTGTTTGAATGGATTTCTGGAGCAGCCAGTCTTGGATGAATTGGTAGTTGTTTGTAACCTAAACTATAGATGATTTTTCTCAATGGTGAATGAGTTTCAATCGAATGTAAAGATCCTTTAAAACCCCTTGCTAACCCACAGGCATCAATAAACCCAGTGCAAAGTCTCAGATGTAATTTGAGTAGATTTATGTGAAAATTAATATGAGTTTGAGTGTGATATTGATACTTTACACCAAATCCCCAAATTGCCAAGTATAAACTCTATAGAGATGCTACAAAATGTTTCTTAAGTAACAATTTGATTCAATGGCCATGGAAAAAGGAGCTGGCCATAGCTAAGAGTTAACTAAAGGTTGACATTTAGATTCAGGTGAAATTGTGCGTCAGTACAAAGACTAAAGATTTGACAATGCAAGGTAAAAAAAAATTTTAATTAACCCAAGTATTTGCTTTCCCACAGCTGGGTGGCTTCCAAAATAGCAAGAGATAGATAGACTGGGAAATTGAAATGCACACAAATGTTTTAGATAACAGAAAATTGCTTGTGAGGTGAAGAAATAATGTTTATGCTTGCACAGCGAGTGAAAAAAATGCTCTTCTGGATGTAGGCATACATGTTTGCTTGTCAATAACACAGAATAAGACTTCTTAAGGATAACTCCAGAAGATTTACTGCAAGATTTAAACCTTAGTGAGCTTCAAATTCTAAAAGCTAAAGTTGGAGTTCACAAAAACATGAAAAAGTGTAGCGTTACAAAACAAAGTTTTATGGACTACTAAAGCAAAAATCAACCAAGCATCAACTACCTTGCAAGCATGGTGGTAATTTTGTTATCGCTTGAGTACGCATAGCTGACAGTGGTGCTGACACAACCCACAAAGTTCTTATTATATCACTGTAAACTTACACTGATTCTATACTGAGCCTTGCTATATTATTGTAGTTAGTATAATTTATTTTAACCTGAAGCACAGAGCAACAGAAATGTGTGTGTGTGCGTGCATATTACCTAACAGGGTTGTTATTGAGTGAAACTCTTAGAGATTCAAGACAGCTCAGCAGCTGTGAATCTCGATAGTCTGCCTTTAACTCCTGGATGTACATCATGGCCGACTTGGAACTCTCCTTCTGGCTCTGACCCTAATCGACAAACACAAACAAACACAGCAGGCACGTAAACACAAAATCACTTAGTGTTCTGCATTTACATATTTCTTGTTACATGATATAATTGCTATTATTTCTACATGAAAGCACAACAGTAGAGCATCAAGGGCAAAAGTCAAGAGTAATTTGAAATTTTGATATGTGGGATTAAAGGGTACTGTGTGTAGGGTTTTTCTCCTAATAGGCTTATTTTACAGTTAAATGAACTGTATTAGCAGCCATCTGTGTATGATTATGTAGGGCCTTTGAGCACTTTGAGTTTGTGAACCCTTTGGAATTGCCAGGATTTAAAAGGAAGAAAAGACTATTAAATCATTTCTAAAGGTCTTGGTTTTCATAAATCCACTACATACTTCCAGATACATTTTCTGGAAGTTGTTTACTCTTGTTGTAAATGTGACACAGCAGCTAAAGGTCAATGGAGGTTCACTCATTTTTTCAGAGTTTGAGTTTGTTTAAACAATAACAGCAACATAACTATAACCATCCATCAATTTAATGTATGTAAACAGTAAATACATATTAGATTAGTTATTAATTTACTATTTATTAATGACTAATGTCCAAAATGCTTTGGAAAATGTATTCATTCTAGCCGAAGAGAAAAAAAAAATAATAATAAGGACTTGCTTTAAACCGCCAGCACATTCGCTCTAGCACCCTGTACTTGCTATATTTTTTTTAAGATATTTGAGGTACTGACAGCTTTAGATGTGTGGAGGTACTGGGAGACCATCTCTCGTTTGATCAAAATGTCTTTCTGTCTCAGAGGCTGCTGCTTTTCCTCATTGAGGTTCATATCCACCTAGAGTAAAAGACAGGAGGAAAGAAAAATAATCAAATGGAACAGAAATAAACATTTTGAGAGATTTAGCATAAAAATCCATTTGTGTACTCAAGCAATAAAAAAATAAAATGCAGAAATATAATCCATATATTTGATTAATTACATTAGGGGAAATAACCATCTATTCAGAGTCAGCTGTAAGACACGATTTCTTACTTGTTAAAAGAATTACTGGATGTAACTATTTAAAAACTTTTTCCTTTCAGGATTTCAATCGGTGCCATTTGCTTGTCCCAGGAGATCTGTTATTTGTTTTTTTACATGTCTGTCAAATCCTACTTGCAGCAAGACAGAATAAACTTTTATGCAACTTCACAGTTCTCTGACATTACAGCAAAGGAAATTTAAGGCTTAAGGTTAACTCCACATTAAGGGTGTTTAAACTGTGAGAAATTCAGTACTTTTGATTGAAATATGCCAAGTTTCTGTAGCTGCGCAGGCAAGGTAACGAATATTATATGACACCTCAAAAGCCAAATCATTTATACACAAAAGTGTGTATAAATGACTGTGTAGACTGTAATGTGTAGACTCTTTTACTGTCTTTCTCACCAGCATCTGTTCAAACAGTTCCAGGACATATTCATCAGAATGATCATTCATCATGCCACTCTGAGCACTGATCTCATAGCTGGCAGCTGAAGAGTGTCGGTGACCTGGCGGTGGTCCAGGCTTCTCCTTCTCCTTTTTCCTCATGCTGGTGAAACGCTCCAACTGGATTAGCAAACAACATAACAGAGGAACATGACAGAGAGAAAAGTGGTAAGAGAAGAAAACTACAGAGAGTAACCACTGTTCTTATGTTAATGTTAGATATCAAACCATATGTAGTGTTAAAAACTCAAGGGACATTTCTCCCTTACTTTGATATTACATTGCCCCTTTCAGACATGTACCATTTTCCAAAGACCAGGCAGTAATTTTACTTTGTCTCAATCTAAACACAATCTTGACACTGTGCAATATCAGCCAGCCGCACAAGATGCAAAAATAAAGTAAAAATACTAAAACGAATTGTGAATGGAAGGGACACATAACTTGAAGGCAATCTTACTTAGCTTTAATGTTAACTTTAACTCACATCACCAACTATCTTACGTATTCCATGTCTGAAAAGGGAAATTCTTTACAAGAGCAGAAACCTTTTTAAAACTTGAGCTCAAAAGTGGTTTTGCCGCACAAAGTATGCTGTAAACAGAGCATACTCAAATTTTCCAGGAGTCTGGTATATCGCACTTTCTGGCTTTAATGACTTTGAGTGGTAAACATTCAGTATTAGCACAGAGTGTTATTTAATACATAAAAAAAAAAAAAGAAAAAAGCAAAGAACATGAGCTTCATCATGCATGTCAGCTTGGCACATAATACAGTGACCCTACATAGTGACTCAAAGAAAAATCTGGCATCCTAGCTGCAGGCACATGAAGGCATCACTAGTTTATGTGCCAAGCATTTCATGTTGTCAATGCGCATCTTGAGAAAATGCACATTTAACTTCAGTATAGCACAGGACAAGACACAGATACCAAACAAGTGTGTTATGGTGGGTTAGGCTTGTGACAGACAGTGAGGTGACATTAAATGCATAACAGTTTTATCTGACACACAAGTCAAGCACACGTTTGACAGTGACAAGCTGTAATAAACCTACCTCATCGGGAATCAGCCGTTTGAGTGTCTGTAGAAGAATGAATGAGGGGGAGAAAAATGGCAAAAAAGGGGGAAGAAAAACCAACCAGATGGCAGGTAAAAGAAATGAAAAAGAGGAGGGAGGGAAAAAAAATAAAGAACCCATTAGATAGAAATCAATGATGGGAAGAAGCAGCTCCAGGAAATCATCTACAGAATTCACAAGCAATTAAGAAAAACCCAGGGAAAAAAAAGAAAAAAAAAAGAAAGAAAATCATAATCATCAGCTCTTTTCGCATCTACTCAAAGACCAATGCATCTAAATTAAAGACAGTCTAAGCTAAGGTAAGGTGGACATTTAGAAACATGCAGGTGATAGGCAGTCAATCATCAACAAAGGTGAAGCGTGTGCGTGCGTGCGTGCGTGTGCGCGCGCGCAGTCAATGAAACCATACATAGGAAAAAAGTAGCACATTTGTATTTTAGAAAGAAAGGGAAAAGTATCATCATGTCTCTGCCACTAGAGGTCAGGCTATACCCATTAATGTTTCTGTAGGAAATCAAAATAAGTGGACTATATAGCCCTGACAAGAGCTATGTATGAGTAAAACTGAATTGACATCAGTAAAATAAATCAAATATCAAACACTAAAAAGGCATAAAGAAGATTAATACTGATGACATTCTGGAAAGCATCAAAGTAACACAATTTCAATATTCAGCTCTTAATATCAAATTTCTGATTTAATATGTTGGGGTTTTTTGTTCTTTTACAAATTACAAAAAGCATTATGGACTTCCAATTGTTATGTTGCTAACCTACAACACATAAACACTTACTTATGCCTGACTGATCCTACTTATCATTCAGTTTTGTTCTGAGCTAAAGGAGTCACAATGACCAACACAGAAAAGCTTAACCTTTATGAATTCGTTTAAGACGCACAAACAAAGAGCAAAGCAGGACAAATAAGAAGGCACATTGATTATGGGGAAGACAGTTAAGAAAAAAATGCTTCCGTTTTCACAGCTGCCATTAAATAACAGACCCTCAGCTCACGCACACAGGCACACACCATGAAGATGCCATAAAAGAAAGCTCGTACACATACAAACAAATGTTGTGGTGCTACAGTATTCCGCCCACAAAACGGAAATTTACAGCTGACAGGAGGCACAGTGGATTCTGGGTAATTGCATGGGAAACTGAACAGTAGTCAGGAAGAAAGCAACAGAGATACATGTGGGAGGGAGACACAAAAACCAAGCTTCAATTTGACAAACTGTAAGGTCCGCTTTACAAACCACATGTACAGTTAGGAAAATATGCAATGACAGACACAACAAACTACATTTTTTTGAGCCAGAAGAGTCATGAAGAGGTGGGGCTGGACCAAAATAAACAAAAGCATCACTAAGTTGGAAACACTAAACTGTTTAATGAATGAGTAACAGTAACATCACACACTACGTCACAGCAATAGGACGCCTTTTAATAAGCAAGGCAAGTGTTAAGTGACAAAGACATACTACGAGTAATAGTGGATCTGAGTCATGACGTATTATAGAGCAAACGATTCAATTATTTACACAGCCCCACTAGTGCCTCACTAATCCTTAACATAACACCAAATTAATCAACTTAGGCTCTGTTTAACAAACAAACAAAACAGAAAAGGCAATTCAATTAAAGAAAAACACATAATCACTAAGACAGTAACACTGACTGAAGTGTTCCCAAATGACGCAAATATTAATATACCAACTTTGTGCTATTTTATTGCATTGTTACTGTAATACCTGTGGGTTTACCCTGCTGCCCAGACAAAACAACCAAAGCAAGGCATCTGGTTGGAAACTGTGACAGACATTTCCTACAAATTTGCAACATACAAAAAAATTATTAGATTATCAAGAATTAACAGAAAAATTTGTAATGAGAACTCCCTCTCACAGGGCACTAAAGTTTTTTTCCTCTAATGTAAATCAAAAAGCAAACTCAATGAAACTGCTTAATTATAATTTAAAGACCTCCCCTAAGCACAGGCTGCTAGTTAAATGAGCTGATTCATCTTACCATCCTACAGTGAGCATATTAGATGAAGTAGTACATTTTGGGTTTCCTCTTTTTGTAGTCTGGGTAAAGCATTAAGCTGCAAACACATCCCTAAGCAAGTTTTTGTAAACTGTCATAATATGGACACATGCTTTGGAAAAAAAATATGAAAGAAAGCATGGCATTTAAGTCCTTTTGTTCAAGACACTTTATTCAACCCATCCTGTGAGTTATGTTTAATCAACAGTGATGACAGTTGCCAGCAAACTACCATGTGCAATTCCCCCAGTGTTGTTAACTCCCATCAAAAATCTGCAGCAAAAACAGCAAATTTTCTCAAATTCAGCTGATTAAATGGCGACTAGTGTGATCATAAATAACTATAAATTATATGGAGTAGGCTGAAAGAGGGAAAAACTTGAAAAACTTAGTGTATGGGTGTCTACATTTCTGATTACATGCGCAATCAAAAATGAAAACTCAACAGTTATAAGTGAGGAGAGATTTACAAACGCAAGACGTCAAGACTGCTGCACTGATTGCTGATTTGCAATTTTAAGTCCAGAACAGACACTCTGTGATCCCTCAATGAAATGCCCTTTACAAAATGCCAACACAACTGCTTACAGTATATACATAGTAAAGGGCGCATATTATAGAGTCCTAAAGGCAATGGCAAAAATAAAGGCATACAGCTTTTTCTGCGTGTCTGTCTCAGAGACCAGGCAGCTGGAGAGAATCAAATCAGCAGATGCATTTTGCTTATGAAAGCAAAATAATGAGCCAGTCACACACTGTTGCCATTTCTGTGTATGTGTGTACCTGCCCATGCACATTTAAGGAGACACTGAGAGAGGTGAGAAAGATTATGTAGAATCAGATGAAGAACAAAAACCAAGCAAATGCAGAATGAAGGAAAGCAGACTAGACACTTTTACTGATAAGTGAACACAAGAGTGCTGTCAGATGGCCACTCTGAATTAAGACAGTAGGTTAACTGAAAGATCAAGATGATATGGAAAAAAGTAGATTTTTTTGGTAGGTTTTGCTAATGTGATATGGGCATGAGAATACCCTGTATTGTACTCGTGTCACTGGGAGAAAAAAAAAAATACAGTAATCTTAACCTTAAGATTACTGTATACAGGCTATAGCTCAGGTGGCAGAGCAGGTCAGCCACAAATCAGAAGGTCGGTGGTTCGATCCCTGGCTGCATGCCAAGTATCCTTGGGCAAGATACTAACCCCATGTTTGCCTACTGGTGGTGGTCAGAGGGCCCGGTGGCGCCAGTGTTCGGCAGCCTCGCCTCTGTCAGTGCGCCCCAGGGCAGCTGTGGCTACAATGTAGCTTGCCATTGCCAGTGTGTGAATATGTGTGTGAATGGGTGAATGACTGAATGTAGTGTAAAGCGCTTTGGGGTCCTTAGCGACTGAGTAAAGCGCTATACAAATTCAGGCCATTTACAAAGTTATTTTAGGGTCTTGGACTTGCCCTCTTTCAAGTCTCTCAAAAGAAGTTCTTTGAGTGTGAGCTTTGACAGGTCCGTTCAAGAACAGATACTTGTCCTGAAGCAAAACCAATTTTCTCATAGCTAGGTACTTTGAATCAGTTGCACTCAAAGGTGAATGCCATTCAGGTCATTATGAAGATTTGTATCAAAACTTTACTGGGCTTAATCAATTATCAATTCTGAACACAGGCATTATATGAGAAGGATGCAACAACCATGCCGTCACATACTGGTTTCTAAAGTCCCATCCTGAAGCTACAAGATTTTTGCTGCAGCCATGTCAATTGCAAAAAAAATGTTTTTGAAAATGAATGTGACATGGAGGGGTCAGTCTGACTGTGAAACCACATGCTCACTGGCTCAGTGACTGAGGCCATAAGCTCAGCATGTTGTTTACAGAGTTCAAGACATTTTACATAGTCTTGATAACCAAGTGGCAATTGAAAGACCAGCAGTACCTTCAATCTGACCATCTGACAAGTTCTACTCTAAGATGAAACTGTGTCATGCTCATGTTGTACTTTACATACAATTTACCTATTAAACATCATTCCACTTTTACTCAGGAATGGCATCCATCTAGTAGCACACAAAGTGTGCAAAAATGCAGGGTATGAATTCTCTGTGTATATGTGAATTGTGTAAGTTAGTTTCATTTAAATAAATCAGTTGAACAGCAAGTTATTTTTAATTCAACATCTACGCATGTAGGCGTGATGCCAGCATGGATCAAACTGAACTCAGGCAAACTGATTAGAATCTGTGAGGCACGTTACATTTTCTTATCAAACTAGAATTATAGCCACTAGTTGGTGCAGTATTCTGGAAGCGTTGAAGCACTGGGGGGGAAGGCTTTTGCAATTAAATATGTTTAAATCAATAGCCTAAGGATCTTAAACAGAAACTTAAGCTGGATTTACATAATTTTTGTTTTGTCAGCATGATTTACTTATCAGCGGTCACCAGCTACGGATCACTGTCAAGCCTTGCCTATTAGTGGATCACATTTTGATTTTTCTGATTGTGTCTCAGGCTTGTCTTTGAGTTTATGTAGTCCAACTAAATAGCTTTGCATAAAACATCTTGCCCTGTGCAAAAACGAAATCAGGACAGGCCAGGTACTTATCATGTGCCTGTATCTATATTAAATCTAACAAAAAGGCAAAAAATAAATATACTTAAGTAACTGTGGGGAAAGAACTGCAAAATAACATAAATACACCAAATAAATCACAAAAAACATAATTCTACCAAAATATAACATACATGGTCACCACCGGTTTATTGTCGTCTGCCTTTTGAATGCACAATGCACTCACTAACACCACAGCAATCATTTTTGTCTCATGGCTTTATAGAAAGAGAAAAAGGAAATAGTCTGCATGTTAAGATGGATACAGCGGAC